ATTTTTTTTTTTTTTTTTTTTTTGTTAAAAAATAGCGGTTAGTATTTATTTTATTTTTGTTGCTTATTTCTCCATGAAAAAAGTCTAGAGATATTGGAAGTAGTGGAACTAGTTTTTTTGAGAGTGGAACACTAGGAGGAGTGGAAGGAGTAGTGGAGTGCTTGCTAATTTAGAGCAGAAATGTGTAAATTTTATTATATAAGAAAAATGGTGTCAAGTTCTCAACACACCACAAAAAGAAGAGACAATTAATTTGTGTCTTTGCTTCTTCTCCCCTTTTGTTATTATTTTTTATTTTTTTTTTTTCCTTTCAATTGGTATCAGAGCTACAAGATCAAGGCCAGTTTTCAATCATGACTCACCTAGAGATTGAGCAGTCAAGAAGGGAGAGATAAAAAAATGACAGGAGCCAAAACACCGGTGCGGTAGAAGGTGATGCCTCAAATGAAGTGAGTGTACGGATTCAAGAAAAGGAGGGATCTGTCACACTCAAATACCTGATGTTGACAAAATGCAACTATGCAGCTTTGGGCGATTAAGATGGAGGTATTTATGATGGCACAAGGTGTTTAGGAGGCGATTGAGTCACTCAAAATAGTAGATAACCGCAAAGATAAGATGACTTTAGCAGCTATTTATCAAAGTATTGGAGAAGATACGTTGCTACAGCTGGGTGCCAAGAAAATGGCTAAAGAAGCCTGGATCATGTTGAAAAATATGAATCTAGGTGCGGAAAGAGTGAAAGAAGTTAGAACTCAGACTCTCTGGCGGGAGTTTGAAGCGTTGAGGATGGGTGATTCATAAAGTATTGATGAGTATTTTGGAAAACTCACCATTATTGTCAACAAATTGAGAGGCCTCGACAATACTGTGGTTGATATCCAAGTAGTTAAGAAACTTCTACGATCCATCTCTGCAAAGTTTCTTCAGATCACTTTAACGATTGAGGAGTTCAGTGATCTCAAAACGAAATTCGTTGATGAGATTATTGGATCACTCAAGGCACAAGAAGAAAGGTTACAAGGGTTTGAAGAAAAAGATAAACCATTCTCCTCATTCGTTCAGAATGGAAGGAACTAGAGAATGCAAAATCCTCAAAGAAAGAATGGAAGGATCAAGGCAGTTCCAGAGGAGGCAGAGGACGGGGTCATGGAAGATGGAGAGGCCGTGGGAGAAGTGACTGACATCGAGAAGATGAAGGAGAGTCGCAAACTCAAAAGAAGAAATTCGACAAAAGTAAAATTAAATGTTACACGTGTCAACAAATGAGACACTTCGCATCAGAGTGTTCCACAAAAGATGAACAACTAAACTTGATAGAGATGCAAAAGGATGAGGAGTCTTCATTGCTGATGATAGAGGCGTGTGAAATTAAAACCACACATGACGAAGAGCCTGATTTTGTGATGTTGAATAAAACTATAGTGCCGCCACCAGCCAATATTGGAGCTGAAAATTCCTGGTTCCTAGATACTGGAGCAAACAACCACGTGTCAGGAGAAAGGAGGGTGTTTCGTGAGCTCGACACATCTGTTGTTGGAAAGGTACGTTTTGGTGATAACTCTGTAATAGACATTTGTGGTCGAGGAATAGTGCTCTTCAAATGCAAAACCGATGAGCACTTGATCTTATCGCAAGTTTATTACATACCTAAACTCAATAGCAATATTATAAGTTTGGGACAACTGGACGAGAGTGGAAATAAAATTGTCATAGAGGACAATGTGATGAAGATATATGACAAGGCTAGGAGACTATTATTATGGTGACCAAACAATCCAATAGATTGTATGTAGCAAAGCTGAAGCTTGCGAATCAGGTGTGTTTAATGAGAAAATATCAGTAACGGTGGTTGGCTCTGACACGCGAGGTATGAACACCTGAATTTTCACTCTTTAAAGCAATTAAATGAAAAAATAATGGTTGAAGGGTTGCCGAAAATCACCTAAGTCAATCAATTTTGTGATGGGTGTTTAATTGGAAAGCAACATAGAACTCCTTTTCCTCGAACAACAACATATTGTGCGAAGGAGTCATTGGATCTTGTCCATGGAGATCTATGTGGACCTATTTCGCCAATGACTTATGGAGGTAACAAATATTTTATGTTATTAGTGGATGATTTTTCACGATTTATGTGGGTGTTTATGTTGAAAAACAAGAATGAAACACTGGTGGTATTTAAAAAGTTCAAGATCAGTGTGGAGGTAGAGAAAGGCAAGAAGATTAAGAGCTTTATAACGGAACGTGGAGGAGAGTTCGTATCTACTGCTTTTAACGACTATTGCATGAATGAAGGCATGAAGAGACTTCTTACTGCACCATTTTCACCGTAGCAAAATGGTGTAGTAGAAAGGCGTAATCGAACGGTAGTAGAGATGGCTAGATGTATGTTAAAGAGCAAAGAGATGCTTGCAAAATTTTGGGGAGAAGGTATCAAAACTGTCGTGTATATTTTGAACAGATCGCCAACAAAAGGAGTTGCAGATGGTACACCCTATCAAGCATGGTTTGACAAGATATCAAAGGTTCATCACTTTAAAATCTTCTCGTGTCTTGCTCATGCCAAGAATACATATTCACACCTTCCTAAACTTGCTGATAGGAGTGTGAAGACAATTATGTTGGGATATGAAGAAATCATAAACGGTGATGATGAACAAAGAGGAACTTTCACCGTTCAAATTGCAGAAAAACACAGTAGAACAGGGAGAGGAATATTGAACAAATTGAAGTTGATCCAGATGAAAGACAAAGGGAAAATTCGTCCTCAACTTTATCAACGTCAGACAGTACCTCAAATGTATCATCGTCAAGCTCATCGATGCCGAAAAAGTTTGGGTCTCTAGAAGATATTTATAGAGAACTGAACGAAGTAGAGGAGGAAGTAGTGGGCCCTTGTTTTCTTTCTATAGAGGAGCCAACCTCATATGAGAAAGCTGCTAAGAATGAAAACTAGAGAAATGTCATGAAGTCTGAAATTCTCTCCATTGAAAAGAACAGAACGTGGGAACTCACAGATTTTCCAAAGAATCATAAAGCAATCGGCATCAAATGGATTTTTAAATTAAAGACAAATCCAGATGGAGGAATCATGAAACATAAGGTGAGACTCGTGGCAAAGGGATATGCACAACAGTTCGGTGTAGATTACAGTGAAGTATTCGCACCAGTGGCCAGGTTAGAAACAGTGAGATTAATTCTTGCCTATGCAGCCATTAAGAACTGGGAAGTACATCATATGGATATAAAGACAGCTTTTCTGAATGGCGAGTTAGAAGAGGAGGTGTATGTTGTTCAACCAAAAGGGTTCGTTGACAAGGAAAATCCAAACATGGTGTTAAAACTACATAAAGCCTTGTATGGATTAAAACAGGCTACGAGGGCCTGGAATTTTAAACTTGATCAATGTTTGCAGTCACTTGGTTTTGTTAGATGCCCACAGGAATATGCTCTCTACAAGAAAATTAATGGAGTTGAAGCAATGATAATCGACACATATGTGAATGACTTAATCATAGCCGGATCAAACAAACAAGTTATAGCTCAGCTCAAGGAAGAGATGCACCTGAAATTTGAGATGAGCGATCTTGGACTTTTGAGCTATTACTTGGGTATTGAGGTACGACAAAGCAGTGAATCAATCACTTTATGTCAGGCCAGATATGCAAGAAAAATCCTAGAGAAGCTAGGAATGGGGGAGTGCAATCCTTGTTTGATTCCCATGGAACCAAGAATGAAGATGAGCAAACATGGGAATGGAGAACCTGCGGTTGACAAAACACTTTACAAAAGTGTTATTGGAAGCTTACGCTATCTGGTTAATACCCGGCCCGACATAGCCAACTCAGTTGGTGTGATGAGTAGATACATGGAAGCATAACAACTTCACATCTCACAGCAGTAAAACAAATATTGAGTTATGTGAAAGGTACTCCAAGTTTTGGTTGTGTTTATAAGAAACTATCGAATGTGGAGCTGGTAGGACTTAGCGACAGTAATATGGCTAGGGATATTGATGATAGGAAGAGTACAACGGGAGTGTTGTACTATTTGTGAGTAAATCCAATAACCTGGGTATCACAGAAGCAGAAGGTGGTGGCTTTGTCATCATGCAAGGCTGAGTATATAGCCGCAATTGCTGGAACGTGTCAAGGAGTATGGTTGGGCAGGATTTTGAGTAACATCAGTCAACTGCAAGTAAAACTCAAGCTTAATGTTGACAATAAGTTAGCTATAGCGTTGGCGAAAAATCCTGCTTACCATGATCGAAGTAAGCACATTGATACCAGGTTCCACTTTATTCGCCAATGTGGACAAACTGAAGCTATTGAACTGGAATATGTGAACACAGATGAACAGTTGGCAGATATTCTAACAAAGCTGTTAGCAAGACAACAGTTCCTGGAGTTAAGAGGGAAGATTGACTTGAAGAAAGTCGATTCAACATAGTTAAACAAGTTTAGAGGAGTGATTGTTGGTTATAAACTTGGTTATAAACTTTTTTTTTTTTTTTTTTTTTTGCTTCAAAAGTTTTTTTTAGTTAAAAAATAGCCGCTAGTATTTATTTTTGTTGCTTATTTCTCCATGAAAAAAGGCGAAAGATATTGGAAGTAGTGGAAGAGGAGTGGAAGGAGTGGTAAAGTGCTTGCTCATTTGTAGCAGAAATGTGTAAATTTTTATTATACAAGAAAAATGGTGTCAAGTTCTCAACACACCACAAAAAGAAAGAGAAAATTAATTTGTGTGTCTTTGTTTATTCTCCCCTTATGTTATTTTGTTTCTTTCAACCTAATCGTCACTGGTACAAGTGTGGAAGGCGTCAAGCACCAAATGATGAAAGAATTTGAGATGACTGATCTCCGGTTACTCACGTACTACCTCGGTATTGAAGTGGACCAAAAAAAAGATTGCATCATGCTAAAGCAATCAGCCTATGCTAAGAATTTGTTGCAGCAATTTAAGATGATAGAGTGCAACCCAACCAAGTATCTCATGAAAGCAAAGTTACAACTCGGGAAAGATTCTGAAGGAAACTTGTTGAATTCCACTGAGTATAGGCGTGTCATTGGAAGTCTAAGGTACTTGACTCATACTTGATCGAGCCTTTCATATGTTGTTGGAATAATGAGTAGGTACATGGAAAAGCCTACTATGATGCATCATCAAACGATTAAGCACATTCTCTGCTATGTGAAGGGAACCACAAGTATGGGTTGAAGTATCAAGGAGGGCGAGGTCCTGAAGAACTAGTCGGTTTTACTGATAGTGATTTAGTTAGAGACATTGACGATAGAAAAAGCACGGCATGAATGACATTTTATCTCAATGAAAAGTTGATTCTTGCACTGCATTGATGAAGAATCCAGTATTTCACGGACGCAGCAAACATATTGACACTCGCTTCCACTTCATCCATGAGTGTGTTGAGAAGAGACAAATCGTTGTGGAGTTCGTATGCACTAGAAATCAACATGTAGATATTCTAACCAAGGTCCTAGTAAGGGTTTAATTTGCAGAGATGCGGGAATTACTAGGAGTGAAGAATCTGGAACAAAGTCAGGTTTACGAAGGAGATTGTGAGCTTATAAACTTGACTTGGTAGAATAATCACTTTAGGAGAATTATTAGTAGACTTAGTGGAATGTGGACAAAGTTTTGTGATTGTGGAAGATGGTTAATACTTTTTGGAGAAAGTTTAGGAAACAAATTAGCTCTTTCTTCACTATAAATACTCATGAGAAGTATGTTTACTTCACAACAACACAACAAAAAAAAAAAAAAGACAAAAAAAGCGAAGTGTTCTTTTGTTCCAAAACGCTTTATCCCCTTAAGTTTTTCCTTTGTCTCTTGTACTTGTTTCCACATAATTCTGATTGTAGGTCAAATACTACATGCGCGACCCAGATTCAAAAACAAAGACCCACTACATCCCGAGAACGCCTGCAGCCTAAAACGCAGTAGACCACAGAGGCCCAAATCTATTGTCTTGGCCCCGACATGCGAGCAACCCAGCACCGCGCGCCACAACGACCCACACCTCGACCCACCTTAGCCTACACACATGTCAGTGCCCCATTACGCCACGTGTCTACCTACGGCAAAAACACTTCCTCGGCTTCAACAGCTTGAATCGACTCAACTCGGTTCACATGGCTTCGATGACTGAAGCTCAGCTGTTCGGCTCAGTAAAGGGAATTTTGTCCATTTTCATAGTTTTGACCATCCTGAAGCCGATTTTGACCCTAATTAAGATAATTAAGGTCAGTATCATGCGCCTTATTTCACAAACTTCAAGTTAAATTGTATTAGAATTGTTAAATACTAACGAAACGAAATGGAAAACATAATAGGAAATGACTTTTGGTAAAGTTTGGAACAATTTCAAGGAACAAAAGATTCGCGTACTCGAATTTCGGGAAACGCCGACTAAGGCCAACTAAGTAAATAACCTTGCTATAGGATAGGTTGGACAATTTGTTGATGTATGTGTATAGTGGCCCCTACACATGTCATTTATGTTTTATACATATGATGCTTGATGTGTATAACGTATGATGACGTAAACAAGTTATATGATGATGCCTCATGATGTTTTACTATGCTTATGATGTGTTTGACATTGTATGATGATGACGACGATGACAATGTGGTATTTTCTTAATATGAAGTTCTTTTCCATATTAAGATGAAAAAAATATTTTGAATGTCATATTGCATTATGACGTGATTTTCCAAGGACACAACCCTAATTAATGTTAATGATGAAGAAGATATGAAGACTAATGCACACATATTCTTATAATATTACTCAAAATCGTTATGTCATGCCTAGGATAAGAAAAAGGAAAATGTTTTAAATTTAATGATATTTATTGTGATGGGCTCTAAGGAGTAAATGTTATGTAGCATGAAAATTAATGATCTATAAATCTATCCATTATTGCAGCATGATGCTTGATTTAATTGCATTATTATATGCTTGTTTATGAAGTATGATTTTGATAGTGTGGAAAATGATAATATTATATAGTAAACAATAGACTTAAATAGAATTATCTTGGTTGTCTAGAACCATGCCGCCCAAAGGACGTGGAAGAGAAAGATGAGGAAAGAGACGACCCCCTATTAGAAGTATTGGAAGTAGTGAGGCTGAAAAGAGCCCACCTCAAGAAGGTTTAGTCACTTGAACGGACGTAGCTGCGCCGCCTCAAGTTGTGTCATCCCAAGCTACACCACCTTCGCAGCACCAGCGGCTGGAATAGATCCCACTACTAGTCTCATGTGGGATTCATTTTTAGGTCATGGTGCATGCCATGATGGTCACCCAACAGGCCAACAACTCGCAATCTACTAGGGGAACGGCATATTTATGGGACTTCAAGGTGGTAAAGTTGTGCCCATTCACTGGTATTGCAAGAGATCTGATAAAAGATTATATGTGGATTTCATCCATGGAGACAATATTTATACTAATGCTATGTTCGGATAGTCAGAAGGTGTCCTGTACATCTTTTATGCTGCGAAAGGATGCAGAAGTATGGTGGACTACAACAGAGATAGTCTCAATCCCTTGGGAAAAATTTAAAGAAGCATTCCTAAAGTACTACTATCTGAAAGTGACCCAATGTAGAAAGTGGACTACAACAGAGATAGTTTCAATCCCAGCAGGGGACATGACTTAGGAAAAATTTTACAAAGCATTCCTAAAGTACTACTATCCCAAAGTGGCCCGACATAGAATGCAGGAGAAGTTCACCCATCTGACACAAGGTGGACAGTCAGTGGACAGCTATGACCGTAAATTTATGAGAATAAAAAGGTTTGCACCGTCACTAGTGGACACTAAAGAGAAAAGGGCTGAGAATTTTGTTATGAGTTTGGACTCAAAGATCTGCTACATGGTGGAAGCCATAGACCTGAAGACATATGAGAAAGCATTGAGAACTGCCAAAACCCTAGAGAAACATAGAGATAATGTACGCCGGGAGCAATCAGTTACAGTTGGGCGCAATGGCCCTATGACTCGAGGGACTCAGACGATCAGCCACCAACATGTAGACCTCGCTACGTCGACCGACCTGTCCCTCGACAAGTTGAGAGGAATCCTCCTCGATGTATGGACAGACACCCTAGGAACTAGGATGGAGCCAGAGGAAGGGGAGAGATAGGGTGCAAAATCGGTTGAAAACTACATGGAGGAAGATGTATGGCTGGAACGAGGGCTTGTTTTTTATGTGATCAAGAGGGTTATCTCACCATCAACTACACCGCCAAGAATATTGAAAACCCACCTAATCCACCCAAAGTATTGGAAGAGATTGATAGACCTATGCAGACTCATGCTCAAGGTAGGGCATACACATCCACCAATAGGGATACTAGAAGGTCCAACACCAGGTGACAAGTACACTATCAGTCCTAGTACATTACGCTTTCACTATATTTGATTATGGTTCTACGCATTCTTTTATATCTTTTCCTTTTGTTACACAAGTAGGGTTTGAATTACAACCCTTATTACATGTATTATATGTAAGTATCCCGCGGTGGTAGACTTAGTAGCTAAGGATAGAGTAAAAGATGAACAAGTAACCGTAGCTAATCGAGCCTTAAGCGTAAACTTGATAGTAGTTAGTATGACAGACTTCGATGTAATAATAGGTATAGATTGGTTAGCTGAAAACCACGCTAGTATAGATTAACATAAAAATGAAGTAATATTTTCATCACTATCAGGACCCAACTTTAAGTTTAAAGGTACATGCATTGAGACTACCCCAAAGGTAGCCTCAATGATGAAAGCTAAGAGACTAGTTCAACAAGGGGATTGGGCTATATTAGAATCTGTGATAGATGAAAGATAGAAGAAAAAGACCTTAGACACTGTACCATTAGTGAATGAATTTCTAGATGTTTTTTCAGAAGACCTACCAGGAATACCCCTTCCCGAGCTATAGATTTTGCCATAAAACTCGAGCCGGGAACTAGGCTTATTTATGAAGCACTTTATCGCATGGCGCCAACAGAGCTTAAAGAACTTAAGGAGCATTTACAAGACCTACTAGACAAAGGTTTCATCCAACCAAGCATATCCTCTTGGGGTGCGTCGGTGTTGTTTGTCAAGAATAAGGATAGTTTGATGTGCCTATGCATCAATCACAAAGAGGTAAATAAGAGGACGATAAAGAACAAGTACTCCCTCCCTCGTATTGAAAACCTATTGACAAATTTAGGGAGGCGATGGTATTCTCCAAGATAGACCTTCGGTCATTATACCATCAAATTTCAAATAAGGAGATGTACCAAAGACAATCTTTAGGACAATGTACGGATACTACGAGTTTGTAGTGATGTCATTTGGCCTCACCAACGCTCCAGTTGTGTTTATGAAATTAATGAGTCGAGTGTTCAAGGAATGTCTAGACACGTTCGTTATTGTGTTCATAGACAATATCCTAGTACACTCGAAAACGAACCAAGAATACCAAGACCACCTTCAAAAAGTCCTAACCACCCTGAGAGAGAACAAGTTGTACGTCAAGTTCTCCAACTGCAAATTTTGGCTACGACAAGTCTCGTTCTTGGGACATATGATGTCAAAATATGGAATTTCCTTAGACCCCACCAAATTTGAAGTGGTTATGAAGTGGAAACGACCAACTACAATTACAAAGGTGCTGAGCTTTTTGGGGTTAGCAGGGTACTATCGAAGATTCGTACAAGACTTCACTAAGATAGCCTCACCACTTAGACAACTAACAAGGAAGGGTGTAACATTTAGGTTGGTAATAGACCTAGTGCTCACAGTACCAGAGAGTTCAAAATGGTACATAATCTATGTGATGATTGTAAGATGATTAGGATGCGTGTTGATGCAACACAGCAAGGATTTTGCATACGCGTCCCATCAGTTAAAGGCCTACGAGCAAAATTATCCCACACACGACCTAAAGTTCACTTTAGTAGTGTTCGCATTAAAAATTTAATGACACTACCTGTATGGAAAGAAGACCAAAATTTACACCAACCACAAGAATTTGAAATAATTCTTCACCCATAAAGAGCTAAACATAAGGCAACGGAGATGGTTGAACTAGTGAAAGGTTACGACATAGGCATCTAGTACCACCCTTGAAAAGAAAACATGGTTGTTGATGTCCTAAGTTGAAAGACGACACACTTGTCAGCCCTTAATACTAAACAGGTACGAGTAGAGA